GCGCGGGTGCGAGCGGTCGCCCTTCCAGCTGCCCATTTCATTGAATAAAAGGGTACACCAGCAGCGATATGAGAGCTGGTAAGAGCATTGCGAGAAAGCAACAGCATCCCAAGGAGCACCACATTAGATAAAATTCAGAAACAAGTGAAAATGTATGGGGATTGATTTTCAACTACAGAAAAGAAAAAGCTCACCCAAATTTTTTGATGGGCTCTGCCTCTCGCAAGTCGTACAAGATCACGGCTGCATCTCTCGATCCACTTATCAGCAGATTTTCGTTTGATCGATGGAAATGGACAACAGTAGCTGAGCGTTGATGCGACTTATAATGCATTTCTGCAAACAGGCACTGCAATATAAAGTGAGCAGAAGCTGACGATGATAATTGAAGCTCACCAATCCTTCCTTTATTGACATCCCATAGAACAACAGCCCCATTATTGGATGTAGTGGCAATTAGCTCGTCTAAAGTGAAGGAAGTCATATGATCATAGTATCAGGATAGTAGATTGCGCTTCGAAATTGGCATATTTACAAAGAAATTTGGATTTTATTTCATTTTTGACGTAAAACAGCATTTGCTATGGCAGGTGCCATACATACTTGATTCGCATGATCCGTTTCGCCATTGGTCAAATTGAACTGACTGATGGTGAAATGGATGAAGCGGATCAAGTGGACAACCGCTTCGCTATTGGTCAGTTCCTTGTTCATTGGATTGACCAATGACGAAGCGGTTCAAGCGGGTCAAGTGGATTGACTGGATCAAGTACTGCGCGTGCCTATACAATAATATTTTACTGCTCACATATACTGCTATTTGCTTGTGCCTCGCACGTGAAAAACGGTCGTTTAGGGCACAATTTGACGAGCAAATATTGTGCTCGTAAAACACCGTAGCATTCGACAGATTTATCTAATGATATATAATCGTTAGCCGCATTTCAAAAACCTAATAATACGTTAGCCGCATTTCAAAAATGCGGCATAGCGCGCGCCGTTTTTCATGGCTGCCACCGCTCGTTCCTTCTATAGAATACTAGTCAAGTAAGTTACATGTAAAAAAAGGCTTGGAATAAAAGACACCGAAACAGTGAGCAGTAGAGAAAAGCGAAAACATAAATAGAGAATCTGATTCAGTTCCAAAATTTTTCCGTTCAACAACTAGCTAAAAGCTCAAATGAGCAAAGTACCTTTCAATTTGCTCCATGCAACATTGCTCGGTGAATACAAAAGATTCAGACGACGACTTCTCGCTGATCGCAAATCGGTGACTTGCATAAAGCCCTCGTCGTCCATTTTGAACACTTTCAATACTGAAAGCAAAAATTGGGTGTATTAGGGTGAAGTGGAAATCTTTTCTACGAAAAATACTCACTTCCCCGACATCCAGCAGCAACGAAACGTGTCTGTTCTCGGTTGGCGCTGAGAGCATCTACTGGATCATCCACGTCAATCAAATTCTTGTTGACCGGGGGAGTTGCAACGGAGAGATCATCATCCAGATCATAGTCATGTAGATAAAGCTCAGCGCTTTTCTTCCTAATGGGTATATCGAGCGGTCCCACACCCGACATTCCGTTTAGATGGTTATGACATAGCTAGACAGCTTCTCGTCTTCCTTAAACATTTTCAACATCCGCAATGCTTCGAACGTGTCGGATTTCACGAAATTTTGGAAGGGACGTCATAGTTACTCAGAATCGAAACTGGTTTCGATCTGAACGTGCAACGCGGCGAGCGCAAGCGGCCGTGGCAGGCACGAAAGCGCTCGCAAGTAAAGGTAGGCGCCAGACTAGGC